TTTCGGTTATTTGGATGGGCAGACTGCTGCCGATCATTTTACCGTCACTTTAGAATGAAAATTCTAACAATGTCAAAAAGCAGATTTATTTCGAAAGAAAAGTGCATATATTTATAAGCTTTCCTTTAAAGTTTATTATGAATGTTGAACACATTTAAACAATACAAATCGGCATGTCACAAAAAATCCTTACTGATGTTTAAATAGCTTAAATTTGATAAATAAGACTGAAGCAAAATTTAAATGTGCAGTTAGCAAATTCGAAAAGAAGGTAATTGAATAGCATGGCGTCGTCGCAAGTGTATCAAGTATTTGTAATGTCAAAAAACTGATTATTTTTTAAATCTTTTTGTTTTATACGTAACTTTTGTGATATATGCAAAATTTAAGTAAGGATTCACTGTTTCTTTTAAAATTTGAATGGAATTTAAAATTTTAGGAAATATGCAAAGAAGAAATTATTAAGATTGCTCATTAGAGTGCTTTATGCATGGAGAAAAAATTCTGATAAAATTACCACATTCACAGTTACCCCACGGTTGAAAACATTTCGTGCTTTTTGGTGTTTCCATAGAGCCAGAAATACGATAAATTTAACCATATTCTAGTAGCTTTGTCCATATTTTTTTCTCAGTGCGGATAAGATGTCTGATCCTATTTAGACTTTATCCCTAGACTTTAGTCAGAGACTTTAATATCTAATATCGTGTTTCGTAAACTGTTAATAAATTTATAATTTATATCATATTTTCGTTCCAGGTGAATCATAATATCGTGTAATAAAGTTTAAAGTGATTTAACTTGTATGATAATATGATTTAGCTAGGCATAATATTAAGTTCGCAGTAAATTTGCACGATAATATGGTTCAGTTTGACCCCGTATTAAGGCTGCCAAGATAGCATAATTCTGCTCATCTATAATTTTTTATTAAGGAAAAAACATTTTTCAAACTGTCAATCAGAGTAATTTCTTATTTTTCTGTAAAAAATAGTTCCAAACTATTATCGTTATAGTTTGGAACTAAAAAAGAAGAGTATGCCAAATTGTGAAAAGTTCAACTATGAGTTACAATTCTATTACTGAAAATTTAGAAAGAAAATAATTTTCAGATCTATTCATCATAGAAGATGATAATATAGCTGGAATATTGCTTACCTAATTAGATAACAAACTAAAGAAAATAAATAAAATATTTAGGAAAACATCTTGATTCAAAACTCTAGTTCATTTGTCAAACGACCTTGCTGTTTAGTAAGTGAAAAATACATGAATTCACGAAAATAAGTCGAACTTTTACTGAGATTGTAAATCTGATAGAGAAAAGCAAATAAAAATACGTAAATGCTTGGATTTTAATTGTAGAAAGAAATAAGAGATTTGTATTGCATTGTTGAAACATCTGTTTGCACATTATCTTCAAATTCATTTGTCATATATATACTGCAGGATCATGCACTTTATAATTTAAGAACAAGGCTTACATGTTTCTAAAATAGTTACTACTTAAGGTCGGAAATAAAATTTTACAATTTTTATAAAGTACAAAATCTAATTATATGGTCAATACTGATTTCATTCAGAAATATGTATTGCGCATTTTAAAGGTAACACGAAGTTTATGCCCGTTTGATGTTTGTTTTAATGAAGTAGCTTTTTTCCAACTATTATTAATTTTTACTTTATACCACTTTCTTAGTCAATAAATCTTCCACAAACATTCAAATTAGACAAAAAATAAAAGTAGGAAGAGCAAATAAAAAAAAAAAAGAAATTATAAAGAGCAATAATGTATTCACCTCATATACCATGCCTTCAAAAAACTGACCGAGACAGTGTAAAAATTAAAATGCATCATGAGAAAATATGCTGACAATATTTTTTAAAAATGCCCAGAAATATTTGACAAATACATGATTAATCTCTTCTCAAAAAAGGATACTTAATTAACCCTTTGACGAGGAATTTTTATTTTTTATTAAACATATTTTTCACACTTTTATTTCGATATTCGCATTAATTTAGATCAAAATAAGTGAAAAATATTATGTTTAGCATTTTAATAATTTATGGTTATGATACACAGTATGAAGCACCGTGTCTCTTTTTTTGCGTTAAAGGTAAAATCTTCCAAACACGGCTAACTTAATAACATTAATTTTTAAAATTTGCACTTATTTGCAGTTATTTAGATCTAAAAGAAACAGTTATTCATCACTGAAATTTCTTTAATTTACAAAATGAATTATTTATAAGTCTTTGAATGAGAAGGAAAAAAAAATTTCAAACTACTTTTTTTGGATTTTATACTTTAGTACAAATATAATTTCGAGAAACTGACGAATTTTTCTTTCGTAACTATTAGACTGTTTTTTTCAACCAAAAGATACCAAAATTTATTTTTGCTAGTAATTAGATCTTCAGAAAAAAAATATATGAAAGGGTCACCGGTGTCCCATCTGCGTCAAAAGGTTAAATTAATGAAAGGAAACAACATTTTCTGAAGTCAGTAATTTTTCACACATTTCAAATTTTTATTTATAGGTTTGAGATTTTGATGAAACAAGGGTCCCATGTGACTCATTTTACCTTCAGCCCTTTATCACCCACATTAAAAGCATTGAAGAAGAGTAGTTAATCTTTCATCGATGAAAGCTTACTTTTCACGTAAGAGACATACTTTATTTATACAATAAATAGGATTTATGAACTAAGCAAGTACAGATGTTTGAAATACCAGGGTCAAATCTTTGATAAAAGTTGGATGGCAGTTCGTATCATTCTGGCAGTTTAAAGGAAAGTTACAATAACTCAAAAAAAGGTAGATTGAGGCAATTTGGATAAGCAAAATGGTAACGTATCAAATTATTTATTGGAATCAGCCGAAGTTTTTTAATGAATTAATAATTAGGATAATACTATGTTTTTATGAAATAAGTCAATTAGTTAAATAAGCTTTTTTGTTGGGTTTTGCATAACTTTTATATTGTATAGCATCTTATTAATTGTTTTCACCTATATTTTGTCTTATAATTTTTTTCTCAGTCGATGTGGATAGATCAATTTTTTATCATTCTTCATTCATCATTCATTCATTCTTCATTCATAATTACAATATACAATACTTACAATAATAATTTACAAAAAATGAGTTAAAAAGGCTATACTCTTAAATTTAAAGCACACATGCGTTTCTTAGTATTTAAGCTTGATATTCAAGATGTATGTTATCATATCTATTAGTTAAATATTAAATTTAGATAAATAGAAAAGGAATAGCAATTTGCAAAATTCTAGTAATAAATTGAAATATTTTTGTAAAAAGAAAAAAAAAAACAACTTTTACTAACTACAAAGCATACAAAATTTCTAATTTTCACGCTTGCTAAATATTTTTGAAATTATTGTTGTAATTTTGTAAACTAAGTATAATCTAAACATTTAACTCAAAGTATTTTAAAGGCAAAACTTACTTAGTTTTCAACAAAACAAAGCACTATACATTAAGTGAAATATCAAAAAAGAAACTTGAAAACTGCTTGAAATAAAAGAAATATTTGTTATTTTTTTACATTCCTAATGAAATATATTATAATTTGTTACCTGATAAAAACTTCATTTGGTTCAAAAATATGTAAACAGGAGACAACAATCGGCGTATGTTTCCTGCTCTCAAAAACAGGCACCCATTATCAAGACTTGCGAGACGTGAATGAGAAGTACCAAAAGTGATTTGAAATTTAAAATGAAATGTTGCCAATGAAAAGTGAAAAAAATAAAGGTTAGAAACAAAACTAGAAAAACTGCAGTAGCCGTGAGAGAAAAAAAGATGAAAAAAGAACAAAGGAAATTACAGTGACCGAGAATGGCGAATCAGGGTAAAATCCATTCCATGTGTTATGGTGTTGAGGAACTAATGAGGAACTAATGTCGTTAACAAGGGAATCATCATTTATATGAATAAAGCAAGATTCCTGGACATCAAGATGAGCTGATGTGACTGGAGTGGAAATAATTTTGGCATTGCCGAAATTGAATTTATGACCAAGATTCCAACAATGTGCAGAAATAGATGATTTCTCATATTCTTGTTAACGGACATATCAATCGCGTCTAGTTTGTCGGATGAAGCAGGTAGCACTGGCAAGAATATTTGATAATGGGCTCTTGTTTTTGAGAGTTTGAAACATGTCGATTGTTATTTCCTATTTATATATTTTTGAAGCCAATGAACTTTTTAATCAGGTAATATCTTACCGATTCAGTTTCTTGGAATTATTTATTTAATATTATAATTTGCTTTCGTAGTTATGTAGAATTTAAAGGCTAAATTTAAACTATTTCTTAAAGGAAATATTACGGCTATTGTATCATACCTGAATATTCTTAGCTTGTAATTCTTGTAAATCACCCTTAATCTTCTCTAACTTTTCAAGTAATCTATGCTATATTTGTATGAAAAGATTTTATATGATTTAAATGAAAAGATTTTAAATAGGTGTCTTAACTTATTCTGGTGAAGGGTAAGCTCTTTGAAGAAGGTTAAGCCTTCTTTGAAAAGATTACCTTTCTCCAATATAAGCAAAAATGCTTTATATAAATTGTCTATACAAATACAGTAAAGCCTACATGAAAATCTTTCTCAGCTGGTTATTTTTAAAATAGCTTTATAAAAATGTTTTTCGTTTATCGTGAAATGCTAAGTGATTGACTTTTAGAAAATTTAATAAATTTTTTAGATGTGCTTTAGATTTTTTATTTTTAATAGCGAAAAAGTATGTTGTGTCAGAGCAAAAAATTATTCATAATGGATTTTCAATTATTAGGAGAAAACCTTTATGTTTTAGTAAAAATACATAGTTTTGATCTAATAATATAATGTGTACTGATTGCCTTTAACCCACTAGCGGTTTAGCAAATGGCCAAAATCGGACGATTTTAAAGTGAAAATGAAAAAACAAATGTGTTACGAATTAAGGAAGAAAAGGAATAAATTAGGAAAAACATAAAAATATAAATTTTTTTATTCAACATGAGGCTTCATTATATAGTGATTTTACATTGTATGCAATAGTGAGGCAAATTATATTGTAACCTAAGTTCAATAATAGTTCTCAAATTTGAGTTATATTTTCTCATTATATTTAAAAAGAAGCAGATTGACTTTTTTAACCCTGAAATCGTATTTGATTATGCTGTTAACTATTCTTTTGTTTTTAATATCTCTCATTAAATTTTTATGATTACTAATAATTCAACTCTTCACTTTAGTTTCATACCAAACATTTCGTTTAGTTGTGATTATTTTAGCCATGTGATTAGTTGTGATTATTTTAGCCATGTGATTAGTTGTGATTATTTTAGATATATAATGTAGATATATAGATATATAATTTGCATAATGACTTTCTTAGATTAACCAATTCTTTGATTAATCTTTAATCTTTCTTATATAGATTAACTTTAAAGCATTGCACAGAGAAAACAAATCTGTTAAAACTGCCCTGTGGAAATGATATTTCTGGTTAAGAAAACATAATTATGGTTAATAATGCCAAAATGTACAGTATTTTAACAATTCATTTGATAATTGTTCCATTCCTATTGTAACGGTTTACAGGAAATTCCGGTTTTCAAAATTATAGTCCTCACTTCCCCAGAAACACGGTTATTTTTAACATATTCAGGTAGTTTTGACCATATTTTTTTCTCCGTGTAGATAATTATGAAATTATGCTTAAAACTGTTTAGGTAAACACAAGTCAGTAAGTCAAGATCCATATTATTCAAAATACAGATTCTAATGATGAGTAGATAGTAGTAGTTCGAATTTTGTAGAACTGCTGAGGCTTCAGTTATTAACATCCAACTCCACTGGGCAGGACAATGTAAAAGCACCAAATGATAGTAATTAAAGCACAAAGCAATATAAGCAATACCGCTGCATGGTTATAAAAGTGTTGCTTCAAATTAAATGAATATTGAGACATGTTGAAACTAAAGTGGAATTTTCCAATTAAAAACAGCATGGCGAGCAGTTTGAAGCATGTCATAGTCTCGTTAAATTCCAGATGTTTTGGTACCTGAAAGTACAAAAAACGATATTGTGAGTCAATGTATAATGTAAAAAAACATATTATTATATTTATATTTTTAAAAATTATAATACAAACAAATGTACACTTACCCTAGAAAATAAATAACTAATCCTCCTTTCGTGGCGGAACTGGAACTATAAATTCCTCTTCTTACCTTTTATCCTAAAACTAGTTTTAAGCAACAAAAACGCTTAATAATAAAATGTGGAAACAAATTTTATTTCCCTTTTCTTATTTACTTTGAAAGTTGATTGCGTGTTTCTTTAAATGTTTCAAGAAACATTTACACGAAAAAATATTTTGAAGGCACAGGTTCTTAAATTAAATGTAATTTAATTTTGCTCGATGTGGAAGAGAAGAAAATTCAACTGACAACGAGGAAATTTAAATAGCTGGAAATATTTACGGTGTTAAATTTAAGAGCTTTAAGTTCTAATGTGAAGTTGTTAGAATTGTTTAAGTATCACATAGTATTGTATAGAAACACCAACTATTGCATAAAAGCTTTTATATGTAATTTAGTTTTGCATCATAAAATTCAAAGATATTCTTTAAATATTTGCAGTGTTAAATTTCAGAGCTTTAATTTCTATAGTTCAGTAGCTATTATTTTTTAAATACTACATTGTACTCCCACTAAGCCAATTTATTCCAAAGATATTTCAGAAAGAGTTTTTTTTTTAATACAAAATCATAAATGTAAGAGTATAATAATAATAAAAACTTTACTTACCGGGGCTATGAGGAAGACTCCCTTGCATAACTGCTGTAATAAAAAATTAACACAAATCATACCACAAAAATCATACCATAGTTTAAAAATATGTATATAATTAGAATATTAATATATAATGAAAATAAGTTAAAAAAGAATTCTATATCTATAGTTAAAACAATATTGCATGCAATCCATTCATTAGTAAACAAATTCTTTTAATAAATAATCCAGTTGAAGAGGCTGAATTCAGAAATAACTCGGACAAATAGCATTTTGTACAATAGATTGATTTCTTTTTTATACTTTGATTAACAGCTCAAGTGCTATATTTTTTTTTGCACGCATTCTCTCCAATGTAGGCAGTACGTTTCTTGAGATTCGCTCATCGTTAATTTTTTACCCTTATGTTTTGTATACATTACTCAAATACATTTCAAAAAAGGACTATAAAAAGAAGTGATTAATAACAAAAGTTTAACAAAAATGAGTTTTGGAACTCTTAATAAAGTATCAAACTGTGAAGGGATTACTTATTTATGGTTTATAGATAGCCTACTGATAAAATGTACATCGTCATATTAGTAAAAGTTTTGCTAATTTAACATTTTATTTTTGCTTATTTAATGTCCCTAAATATAAAGTTTTTTTGAAAAAAGAAAGCATTGGTTATTAAAATTTACAACGTTATAAGTCAATAACTCTCGCGAAACACGGGGAAAAATTGAACTGGAAAAAGTATGTATTGTACTCGTTTTAAAACTTTTAAGTGCATTTGCCATACCAACTTAGACAACAAAATTACTGGTCAGTATTAGTTATTTTTTCAGGCAAGGCAAAAAAAAAAAAAAAAAAAATGCAAAGTTATTTTAAAATTTATATTAGTTTTTAAGCTAAAGACATTTTGACATTTTATTCGGCTTAGCTTGCTACAAACTAGATTTTTAATTCTTGCACTATAAGAGAAAGCTGCAATCTGGAAAAAAATGTGCTTAAAAAAGTTAATTGACTTAAAATTGGTGTGAAATTTGGACCCCTAAATGTTTATTTCACTTTTTGCTTATTTCATAACATCTCTGAAACTATTTTAGTCCTGCAGTGGACTGATTGTAAAGACACAGTTCCCAGTATCAAGCATCATTGACTGCTGTCACTAAGCGGGTGGGTGACCACTTTGATCAAGTTGCGTAGGAACTGAGGGTGTACCGTATCGGTCGTCGTTAAACTGTCCTACCGTAAAAAGCTCGACATCGCGGACGAGTCACCGGGCTACAAAAGTGGAGAAGCTATCTCCTCTGCAAATGATTAAAAATGTGATGGCATGTCTTCGGATTATCCTCAGGGATGTTTTCCAAATCGTCACCAATAGCTTATTGTTCAGCTCTAATAAATAATTTTTTATAATATACTATTTTGAATACTTTATTATGATCGAAAATATAAAAAGGGGTTAAAACTTTAAGCCAATCTCCTGAAAAAAGCCAATCTCCAAACTATTGTGATTCCAGATTGTAACTTCACCCCCATATTTCAAAGGTCAAGAATTTGTAGCAAATAATGTATGTTCATTCAGAAAAAGTTCGCTTTTGTGTCTTGGTTGGTATCTTAGGTTATCGTCCCCCCCAAATTAGTTTGCACATTTAAGGTTAAAACCTCGAATCATTGAGATTGCGTCTTAGTATGTGAAAAGCCAACCATTAGGTTAAAGGTAATCAAAGTGTGTATTAATATTTTTTTTGATTTTGCGCGCTGCATATATTTTTATATTTTGCAATAAAATTTTTGTAATGTGCATTTTTAGTGTAACATAAAATTCCTATATTTAACCAGTTTTGAGTTGCAGGATTTTAATAAGGCTGCCTTTAGTATTATATCTTTGTTTAATTACAATTAAAAGTTAAATATTTGAATGTCTGGTGTTATTTTAAGTAAAAATGAATTTATGAAGAAATTTATTTTAATGCTGATGAATAAAAAATTTATAAAAATAATATTCATATATAGCTTATGTCTGCAATAAATTGAATTATGTTAAAAAACAATGTTTATAAATTTTCCAATTCCTGATTACATAGTCGTAAATATCTTCAAAACTAAGTTTTTAAGTTACACGCAGATTTCGTTTTAAAAAAAAGAAAGACATTTTAATAAATTTTGAAAGTCACTTTCATTTTATTACATTTTCTTATGATTCATTTAATCATTAGAATTTTATAAATACTTTTAAATTTGAAATTTTCTTTTTATTTAAAATATTTCAACTGGCTACACAGTCAGAAACTTCTCGGTAAAAATGGTTAAATAGCTATTCAGTTGTTATTTTACCACATTCAACCAAAGCAATCAAATAACCATTAGAAAAATGATATGCAGACTGTTAATTGCGAGAAAAAATTATTATTGATTGTTTTTTTTACCAAGTATGGATTAACAACTAGAATTCTTGAAGTTAGCCAACTAGACTCAATTCATGAAGCCATTTTTACTCGTGCAGCTGGGTAGCTGAGAGAGCTAATCAGTCAATATAATGGCAGGCTGACAAGGGGTTCGAATCCTAGCGATGAAACCACAATGATTCCTCATTCACTTCAGCACATGAAGAGTTTTCAGTGTCCTGACATCAGTTTGTGATCCTGGACAATTAGAATACGATACTCTCAAAAAGTCTAGTATTTTCCACTCAACCAGGTATCCTTCCAGGTGCCAACCTCCAGTTTTTGAAAAGTTTCTAGTGCCTTGCATTCTTCTATCTTTGACGCTAGACTATTAGAAAACGAAACTACCGTTTACGCATAAATGGTATACAACGCATCTCCAATGTCCGTTTAAATTTTTTTTATATCTAGCTCAGAAACTATGCTAGTTATGACTAGTGCTAGCGGTTACAGAACCACATATGTTTTCACTGTTTTTGAACTGTACCAGCTGTAAACGGTTTCAAAACCGTAAAGGTAAAGAAAGGTTACAAACCATAAACTTCACGATTAATCAAATGGACAGACTGGTGAAGGTTAGTTTATCGTAACTTATCAATTAAAATTCTAACAGTGTAAAATTTTTCTGAGATTTAAATTTTGAGCAAATAAAACTTAATATATATATATTATTAATAAAACTTAGATTCTTAAAAAAATAATTTATTTTTAAATAATTTTTCATTTTTGAATAGTGTATTATTCTTAAATAAACTTTTGATGATTAAATTGATGCTAAATTTTGGCTGATAGACAGAAATAACATATCATACTTGCTATCTAACGTATTAAACGAGCTCAAAAGAAGCGAGAAAATGATTAATAGGTTGTAATCCCTAGATATATGTCAGTTTATCAAATTATAGCCCTGAACTGAAATACAAAAATATCGACATTGTCTACTATTATTGATTAATCTCTTGATAGAAAAATTGGGTCATTACTTAAACTAAAATAAAAATGAATTTGGAAAAATATATCACAGTGCTTAATACTGAGAGTAGAGTCACTTGTTGATGTTAATGGTTATAAATAATTATCGAAGTTAAAAATGAGAATTTTTTTTTTATGGAATATAATTTTAATAACCAAATGACAGGTTTTGGGTAAAAAAAGTGCTCGTAATATTTTTCTGAATAAAATAGAGATTTCACTTGTTAAAAAATATATACAGTATAAAAACACTTTGTTATTATTTTTTTTAAAGAAATAAAGCATAGAACAATAAATTAATGTATTTTTTGAGTTAAAATAATTATGTTCTCCAGTGAGTTGTGCAGTTATCGAACAGTAAGAAATTTTACACTGTTAGAAATCTCTCAGAAATTTTTTTAAAAATAACAATTCATTTAATCGTTGTTTTACCATATTCAGAGAAGGCAGTCAAATGGCCATAAATAAGATGGTTTTCAAACTGTTAACTATGAGAAAAGCCGTTAATTTACTGCTTTCACCTAATATAGTTAAGCACCTAGAATTTTATCGATCCAACTAGGCCCACCTAATAAAGCCATTTAGTTCCTTGAAGCTGGACACATATTATAGTCGAGAGGGCTAATCTTACAATCTCATGACTGATAGAACGGGGGTTCGAGTCTCATCGTTGGCACCACATTATTTCCTCTATTCTCTTCCACCCATGAAGAGTTTCTTGTGTCCTGCAATTCTCAATTTGAGACCCTGGACTGTTAGAATATGATACTCTCATTCACGCATAGATGGCAGCACTATAAAGCTGCGCAACACAAAAAAGTCTGGTATTTTCCATCTCTTACGATAGGGAAACAGCCAAATAA